TAAAAACAAATGAAGTAAAGGAAAAAAAAAACATGCAAAGGCGTGCAGGACCTACAGGTGCAACGCCACCAGGGAAGCCGATGACAAACTGCGTCAAGAAGTCATTAACGGTGTTTGTTAGATTTGACGGAAGTTAGTTTTCCGTCCAATTGGGACCTTATTTGAGAATTTCGTAGAGTTCGGGACCTTAATTGAGTGCAATTAAAGTTTGGGTCCAACATTGCGAATTTTGTATAAGTTTGGGTCCTTATGTCATATTTATGCCAATAAATAACTCATGTTTTCCGTCTTTGTTGTTAGTTGCTAACTTAAAATAATAACCGGAGTGTAATTAATTTATAGACCTGGACATTAATGTGATCAGTCCAAAACAAAGGATCTTCATCCAGCTCGAGATGTGGAACGTCATTGGACAAATCAGAATTATCGATCATTGAAATCCCTCTCGAGACTCTAGAAGAGGAGCCGGCGTTCACTTCGACTCTCCTTCCGATCACCTGGGAGACTCTACTCACAGCAGAAACTCTTGAACTACTCCTCGTTGGCGTACTCTGTGCTGAATTCGGCTCGGAATGTACCTTTCCGTGGCGACTCATCCCTCTCTGAGTAGCAATGCTCAGATTCAGGTTTAACATCCCGGATTTTCCATTTGATAGTCGATGATGATGCATTTTACCAGATTCGTATTTATCTTTTGAATCGGCATCGCATTCTTGGCTTTGCTTCTCTTTCTGGCACTGAGATGGATCTGCGATTGCGTTGAGAGGAGTTCTCGGAGGATGAAAATGAGCTTGATTCAGCGAGCATTCGAACTCGTTCTCGTTCGCTTCATGCCACGCATCTTGGGAAACGAATCGAGAACTTGAAGCATCTCTCGACATTGTTGAAAGCCTGAACTTCCTGACGAGGAAAAGTAAAAACTCTGATTCTTACTTAAAAACAATGATGGAATTCACAGCTCAGATTCAAAAAGGTTGTGAAGAAAGTTTGAAGGTGCTGGGAGCTGAAGAGCTGAAGAGTGAAGACTGAGAAAGAGGCCGTAGCCGCTCCTTTTCAAATTGAAATTGTCGTCTACTTCAGGAAATTTTAAGGGCTGGATGACGGATTTCAGGAATTCGGAAACAGATTTTGCTGACGTGGCGAGTAGAAAATGGCTGGAGGGTAAACGATGGGGAGTAAGGACCGTAAGGTAAACGATGAAGCTAGACTCTGGGATGGGCTTTGGATTCAAACATTGTTAATGCTTTTGCTTTAATGGGCCCAGTTACCGGAGAAGAACATGATAACGGTAACAAATTAACAATCCAGGGAGAGATTCAAACAATGTTGCGGAGGCCCATGTTCTGAAACATTTTTAATGGGTCCATGTTTCGGAATTATCTCATGATTAGTCCTTTAACTTTTTTTTTGGCTGAATTTTTAGCATGTTTGGATTAAAAGGAATGGAGGGGACGGGAGGGGAGGGAGAAAAAAATTTTTTATTTGGTTCTCCAAAAAACTGGAGGGGAGGGGAGGGAAAAAATTCCCTTTACTTTATTTTTTCTTTTAATTAGTTACTTATCTAAATAAAATAAAGGGAGAGGAAAGAAATGGAAGGAAAAAATTTTCCTCCTCTCCTTTCTCCTCCCCTTCATTCTCCTCAACTCAAACATAAGGTTAATGTTTCGCTAATTCGCTTTCTTATCACTCTCATTTAAAACATTTACTTTCTCCCAAATTGATCTAAGAGCGTTTAATCAAAGTGGTCTTTATGTCACTTTAGAATGTTGTAGTTTTACTTTTATACGTGGATAGAAGAGTTTAAAAAGAACTCCACATTACATTTTGTGGTGGAGCAATAACATGAATCATGATGATGGGTCTATATTTTGAAATAATGTTATGATTAGTTCTTTAACTTGTTTCTTTTATGATTTTTCACCCTCAAACTTATTTTTCAAAGATTAAAGTACTCAAATTACAATATTTAATAATGGAATAAGGCCGGCACTAAGGCATTTCATTGAAACCACAAAATGCATCTTCCATACATGGCATGTCTAATGTGACATTTAAGGTGAGAAATATCCTTCTAAGAAATATAGATACCTCTCATTAGCAATTTTTTTCACTGATCAATTAAAATTGAGAAGCATGTAAATTGCAAAACCTTAGGTTGTTATAACTACTTTAATTTGTAAATAAACTTGATTATATTTTGGTGTGAAGCAAAGATTTGGCTTTCAACAGTTGTTTTCTTCTCTTCTTTATTTCTCTTATTTTGGTCAACCGACCTTCTAGTCAACAACTTGACTAAGTTGATCTTTACTGAAACCATGTGAAGAGTTTGCAACTAACATTTCATAAACGGTTGTTGACATGTTCTAACAGTTTCCCAAGTGCAAAATAGGGAAACTTCTTAGTCGATGATTGAGAGGAAAAATAAGGAAACTTCTTTGTCGATGATTGAGAGGAAAAATAGGGAAACTTCTTTGTAGATGATTGGGAGGGAAATTAGCCATCCAAAATATGTCATGTATATGCAATTTTTGAATTTTGTAAGTGTTGGGATAATAACCCAACACTCAAATTGGGCTTCCAAAATTCATAAGATTTCAATCTTCAAGGTCTTGGTTAAAAGCTTAACTCTTAGATAAACAACACCTGGACCAATAGAATCACGCCATGTGACCACACTCCATGACCCCAAAACTATAAATGCCGTTCAACTGCATCTCAATACAAAGGTAATTAGTACTCTTTACATTTACTACTTTAGCTTCTGTTTCTAAACTCTCTTTCAGCATAGAAGCATTGTGTTAAAGATTT